CTCCTGGTCCCGGTGTCTTGTTGGTTTTTTTGTTTTTTTCCCGTTAAGAACAGGCCGGTCCCCGCCACTCCCCTGGGGTTTAGGGCTTTTTTTTTCCTTTTTTCCCCTTTTGGTTTTGGACCCCTGGCGGGCCCCCCCCCCCCCCCCCCCCAACCTAATCTGGGCAAGCCCCAGGCTTCGTTATTGACCTTCAATGACCTAACTATAAAAACAGAAAACCAGTCACCGGTTAGCAACAACTATCGTGAGTTCAGATTGTGCAAAAGATCATGAAATTAAATTCTGACTTCTAAAATGACGTCATTGTGCAAATGTCCTTGTCATGCACACCCCTATCTTAAGCGTTCACACCATACGGGGTAGCCTTCTTGTACCTATCCGCTATAGTATGAACACCTTTCGGATATGTGACTCTCAGTAATGGTAACAGGACTGAGTGGAGTCCAATTCGGCTTGTAATCATACGAGTGATTAACAAAATTGGACGACCGCGTTGCGGGAGTCCGATTTGTTTAATCACGAGTATGATTACTGTAGAAATCGCGCCGAAATCACTGTTCTTATGTGTGAACCGAAGCCATATCCGTTATGGTTTTCATGCTGGTGCAAAAGCTATCTGGTATTGTGTGAACATGGCTATGTTTAGCGAGGTGGCGGCTTCACTTTGCTACTGTTTATTCACGCACTAGGCCCTCGCCCCATTTAAGAGTTTCCTTCCAGTAATATTGCATTCCAGCAAGAGTCATAATCGATTATGGCCCCTGATTCCAGACTATACTTTTCATACCCCTTTATATCAGAATACAAAATCGTGTTGTTCATAAATTTCAGATGAACTCTTCCGAGTTCTCTATGGAATTGAGTCATCAGGCCAGCATCTTGAACGAGGGGAGTGGGCTGAAGAAAAGGCTAAAGAAGCTGGCCAGGCTGCTCACAGGCTCAAAAAGCCTCCACTTGCTGATCAGGTTCATGTGGCCTTGTGGGTAATCAAGGGTAACGATATTCGATTTGAGAATGATCAGTACATGGACAAGTTTGCTTTTGTGCAACAAAAATTGAACAGAGAAGGTTAGTTTGTCACTGTTGTTGCATCAATACCATTTTTATTATGCCGAAGGCAGAGAAAAATAATTATTGATCTGCATCAAACTGAACACAATATGAAATATTTTTGTTTAATATAATTATTATTATTATGCTTGTAGTCCTTTTTTTTCTAACTGTTCTAGAATTGTCACGAGCTGCAAATGGAATTGTGGACTGAAGATTGATACAAAACTCAGAAATTTGCGTTTAAGCAAAAGCCCTAATGCCATTATGGCTCTTGGTGTAAGCAGATCATTGCTGCTGCACTGAAAAACAACTGTTTAACTGTCCATGCGTTGTCCATAATGATTTATAGTCCAATCAAAACTTAAGAAAAAATAACTCGAGTGTATATTCATTTTTTTCTTGCCAGAAATTATATGCGTTTATGTGTGAAAATATGTAAATATGTAAAGACACTAAACTAAACGTCTCAGCGTCTTTTTGGTCGACATGACCTACTTGTCGCGACAAAACTGGAAGATGAAGAAAAGATGCTTTGTATGAAATGTTTTAGTTTGATTAAAGTTATTTAAGGTATTGAACGAAACTTGGCCCATCAAAAAACATAGCCTCTCTTGAAACAATGTCCTCGTGAAGTCTGGGAAAGAGAAGGCGAGGCTCTCTAGGTGACGTCACAGCTCACGGCAGAGTCCAGGTTTAAACACCTGGGCCGAGTTGTTCAAAGCTGGGTTAAGATAACCCAGGGCTAGTGCGATATTTGAATTAAGATTTGAAAGCTTAAAAAGCATTTCAGCGTTAATTCTTTTTGTCTACAAGTTGATGATTGGAAGCTCTAAAAATAGCACAGAAAATTACTGATCCGAGGAAATGCTTTTGAACACAAGATAAAGAAACCCGGGTTAATTTTAACCCCGGGTTAAGCGCTAATCAGCCTTTAAACAACTCGGCCCTGGGGACTAAGCTGAACCGTACGATTGTATATTTTAAAAAGGTTTTTTGTATTGGTTCACAGGTGTCACCATAGTTACAGCTGTCACTCACTTTGACAAGCTGAAGTCTAAGAACAAAAATGACGTCCGAAGAAAAGCCATGGAAGTGACCGGAAGTAGCAGAGGGAATACGTTTCTTTTTGCCAATTGGCTTCCTGAGGAGGAAGATTATGACGTGCAAAACCAGCTTGAAGTGTTGCGAATGTTAAAAACTGCACTGGCGTGTGGAGAACGATCTGTAAAATCTCGACAAGTTTTGCGGAAGCTAGACAAAAAATAAGGGAATGGAAGGGGCTTCCCATTTGACGTTTTTTGAGAATTCAAGCATTTTGTTCAACAGTATGTAACTACAAGCATTGAGAGGACCTGTACCTTTTATAGGCATCTTTCTCTTTAACAATTATTCCTCGAGCCTCTGAGTCAATAGCGCCGAATGGGCTACTGACTCAGAGACCATGAGAGCGAGAGGAATAATTGTTTTAGTAAAATCCAACAAGTTGGTCAAAAATATCGAAACAAAACAACTTTAGCTAGCAAAAGGCGATTCAGCCGCCATTGTTTTGGTCTTCAAAGCTGGCACTTTTCGCTACTAGTAAGCTATATCATATAGCCTAGTAGTAGCTCAACCAATCAGAACGCAGCATCGATAATAGACCACCAGTTGGATTTTACAAAATATTAATAGCCTTGATGTCCCATGCCAGGTCCAACGGTGAACCGATAAGGGAAGATTTCAAATAGGTCAAAAGACTGCTTTTCTCCGGGGTTAAGCATGCTTAAAGCCCTTTTCATGCGAAAGCTGGTCTCAGTAGCATAAATCCTCCCAGAGGAGGGAGGGGGGGGGGGAGCACCCAAGAGAAGCCAAAGTAGAGGTGTGCTGCAACTGCCTTCAAACCTTGATCCTGTTTAAGACAACAGGCCTTTTTTCCACAGGGTCGTAGCAAGCCTTTAGAAACTAGGGGGCACAAGGATTTTAGGTAGCTCATTGTATTTTAAAAGCAAAGGGGTCTGGGTCCGGAGGACCCATTGAACTGGTCTCTGTATCTTAAAACCAGAAAATGTTTCACCTAGCTGCAGAGACATCATTGTTTCAATGCTGTGGGAGATGAATTGTTATTTTCAACTTTTATATGCGTGCATGCTTTGACTTTTTGGGCAAAAAAAACTGTGGGGGGGGGGGGGGGGGGGGGCGGGGGTTTTTTTAACCGCCTGTTTTTTGACCCCCCTTCCGTTTTTGTTTTTTTTCAAATTTGGGGATTTTTTTTATAAATAAAAATTAAGATAAGTGATTTTTAAATTTTTTTTTTTTTTTTACACAACTGTTTCAACACCTTTTTTTAAACCACCCCATGTAGACGTGGCACGAGCCTGTTTCTACAGCCTTGTTTCATGACCCTCATTCAGTTCGTTTTGCATACAGAATTCGGTAATTTTTTAATAACTAACATCATAGAATATGACTTATTAAGATTATTATTTTTTGGTACCACACGTGTAGACCACATTCTTTTAAAACCTCCCGATCCAAAAAAAACAGCTTTTGAAAAGATAGCTTTTCTCAGTCGGCACGAAAGCCTGATCCGGGTAGTGTAAACATACCCTAAGCTATGTCTCAATTAAACTTCTTGAACAAGAGAATTTTTTTGTTCGAAATACCCAATCATTTTCTCTGGGATATCTATCATACTAGTGCCTTTATTAAAGTTGATCAATAATCCTGGTTTAACAAAAAAGTCCTTTTAGTGACTACTTGTATTTAATTAGTCTATTAGTTGGAGCTTCGCTTTTAGGTTTACGTAATGTATAAGTATACGTGTTGATAAGAGTTCTGTGGTCAGTATTCACCCAATAACGGAGAAGTATGTGCCCATGATATCATTATTAACTTATATATACAAAGCTACGCCACTTACCAGCGGGTGAACAAAAATAATTCCAGTCTAAATTCAGTTTTATCTCATCCACAAGTTTCAACTCCGCCGAAAGCGACGCAAGTAAGGTGAAGACGTCTTCAAAATAATAAGGAGCACCAAGTAAGATTTTACTGAATATTTTAGTATTCTTATCAGTGTTAATGGAGCATATTCAAATTGTTCTATCCTTTAATGCCTTTTGAAGAAGAAGCAGTCGTAAAAATGGACCTTTAGTTCATTTTATTTTTGCGGTGTCTTTTACAAATATACGTAGCAGGAAAGTCGCTTAAGCTTCTATTTCTTTTCACGACCGTCCTGGGAGAGAAGAGAGAAGCCTGTTTTCAGTAACATAATGGTTTACACAAATAGGGCTACTTTTCGCGTGTATTCGTTTTAACTGTTAAACCCTTGGTGAAAATTCCTTGATCCTCGGATTCCGTGTGAGAGCCTGACAGCGATTAATTTTTAATTTGACGGTTGAAAAAATTTCGCCAAGGCAAAAGATATAAAGATAAGGTCAACAACATTTCATGTTTCATAAAAAGTATTACTGTTAGAAGTCGATCATCGTTTGGACAGGCGTCAACAAGTAGAACTGTTTCGTCGGCTGTTTTACGTCGTCTTGCTCTTGAGACATACAGAGACCCGCGATAATCTCGACCTCTGATGACGGCAAAATTGAAATATCATGAGAATTGAATTTGTTCAGCATAAAGATCAAACTAAGCTCTTTCTTAATTCTGAAGTTTTTAAAACCGAAAAACAAGATCTTCCGTCTATGACGTCTCATCCTGTAATTCGGGAAATTAAAAAAATAATAAAACCGTTTATCTTTTTGCCACATTTTCCTGCAGATGAAACTTTACTGAATTGTTTTATAATACCGACGGATACGAGCTTTTAAAAGTGATAGATTGGATTAAAATAAAAATACAGTTGATCACGGGAGTTCCGACATTAAGGACATTTGTGTTATGTAAATTCCGCTTAATTGCTCTGTCATAACGCACCTTTGCAGTTGCCTCATCGCTATATTGGCTTAATCATTTCAGGCCACATCGTGGAGGGTAAGAAAATTAAGTTGAGGCAAGGCAAAAGATGCTAATTTCTACTAAAATTGAAACTTAAAAGCAATGACATGATAAGATTGCTGTTGGCGGTTTGTTGCACTGAAGATGGTTTTCAGGGTTTTAACAGTCACGACGTTGGTGATTAGACCCAAGTTCAGTGTTCAAAAGGTTGTAAACGCTATTCACCGGAAAAATCGCAATTGGTTTACCTACAGAACACCTATATCCAGTGGACACCTAGTGACTTATCCGGTGGATATAGCGCTATCCAGCTTTCGAACTATTGGGGCCAGGTGAATTGATTATGAGAAATAAGTCAGAGCGATTAGTAAAGAAAATTGTAGGCTTTCCTTACGTAAAACCGAGGGAAATCTCTTACGCTAAATTGTCACAGCCGTGTGGGAAAACAAAGTAAGATAAAGGTTATTGACTCGGGAGAATGAACACTAAGCGATAGAGATGACCAATCTACGGATTAACTAACGCACGATATTGGCCGATATTACACCACTTAATAACTATGTGGCGACGAAATCACTCAAGAATACCTCAAATTCAAAGTAGACAGCGGAGTCAGAAAATGCTTTTTAGAAATCAAAGAACGATAATCATGTGGTCAACATGGAAATTTAAAACCGTCCAGAGAGAGAGAGAAAAAAAAAATAACTAAACAATATAGAGGACGCATATTTAATGAAGAACAATTAGAAGCTTTTCACGAAAAAGAATAAAATGCTTCGATTTAATACTAAGGAAAAATTTCGCGACCAATCAATGTTTACTCCCTTATACTGAAGGAGCTTCCGTATATGGTTATAGAATACATTAAATAGACGTTTACTCTTGCCGCTTGGAATTCAAAGACTGTCGACGTCACCAATGTGTTTCAGTTCCAGTCTGGTACTTTGGCTCACGTGTATATATTGTGGTTCAATTTTATCCTTGGTTTAAACTTTATTTCCCTTGTTTTAAACTCATTTTCATCCATTACCATACCCAAAAACAAAGGGAAATAAAATTTAAACCAAGGATAAAATTGAACCACACCATATACAAAACAATTTTTGAGTCATTAATCGAGAAACAGAAAGACAGGTGCGACGAAAGATCATGGTATACTGGAAAACAACGCCAATTTGTCGAATACAAGACACTGGAAATGAGCTCCCCTAAAGAAAACAATCTCCCTAATTGGACGAAAACTGTGATATCCTTAATCCCAAAGACATCACACAGGACATTTTCTGAGCCACAATAGAAAAACAAATTACACTAGTGAAAGACACAAGAAACAGACATATGACACTGCTGTAAAATCAAACGACTTCGAGGCCCCAACCCATGTTAGCGCGACGTTTCTTTCTGGCTTAAATGTCTGACAAATTTTGTGTTTCTAAAATTTGAATTTACGAGCCTGGTGAGTATTTTTTCCTTGTAGTGGATTTAGGATCCTCCATAAATTCGCAAGTTATCCATTGCGGTATTTCATATCTTTTAGGTGGTTTTGCGGAACACATTTTCTGGGCTTCATAGCGCCGTAAACTAAGGCTCTCATAGTTGTGGTGATAATTTCATCTTTTACAGCTAGCATAGATCATCGGTTTTTTACTAAAAAGAAAAAAAGAAATTCACTGATTAACATTCTTGTGCGGCGTTGTGGGCTGACAAATTTTAGTGTTTATTCTTTCTTTTTCTTCCTTTTTTTTAATTGTTGGAGTTTCTCTTTCAGACTCTACGACCGCCTGTAAAAGATGACATTTGTATACACTGTGTTTTTCATCGAGTGGGAGGCTTGTAAGGACTTTTTACGAGACATAAGATTTCCGTCGCGAAGCCAAATAGAAATTCACGTATTTCACCGCAAAGACGCAGATCAAAACCAACTTCGCAACACTATTCCCGACAAAAAGCTTTACGACGATAGACGACCAATTGTTATAAAACACTCGTCCCTCACGACATTCCATAAGGCTGTCGAAGACATACTCGTCTACTACGCAAGTTCATACGACTTCTCCCGATTCAAGAAACCCGATGTGTACCTAGTTTCCGGAGAGGGTCGCCGTTACGAAGAGTTGGCGAAGATTCTACGAAAGGACAAGAGGGTGTCGGCTTGGGTCATCGACGGAAAAAGAACAACACTTCTGGACTGGCTTGATGCCAACTATGTCTGTAAAATATGTAAATTTATCTTTGATACTGCTCACGAAGGAGTTCAACATTATGAGGAATATCACATGAAGTGAAAAAAGACTGTAGCTGAGAGGAACGTTTGGAATAATAGTGAAAATTACTCATCATTTGCCAGTTATTTTCGCTGTCTTTTTGCAAGTATTACAATCATTTTACAGTTGCGGAAGGCGCCTTTAGTATAACAGAACTGCGGTCAAACCGGCCAGCATTTGTTTGAGTGTCTCCAAAGTCGATGGTTACAAAACAATGTAGTCTTCACTAGTCTTTGAAAACAACTTCTTCCCAGAGGCCAAAACTGCATTAAAGTAAGGACAGGTGTGTGTTGTAAAGGCTCTTAAAACTACCCCTATTTAATATGAACTGAAAATTGAAACCCTTATAAAGGTTTAAAAGCGAAAAATGGAAACCTGCAGCTTAAGGAAACCGATAAGGCAAACTGGTTTACACGCGTCGGTTTTTTTCCTTTCTTTTCCTGGACATTTACAGAGCACAGAATTCTAGCGTAAACCTAGTTGAATCGTTTTCTTAGTATAAGAGTAAAGTAGCTTAGGTTTTTTTATAGCGGCTTAAATAGCTTAAATATGGAGTGCATCCTATCACACGGAATTACTATGCATGCCTGACAGTGTCTTGTTGTCTCATTGGTAAAAAGTTCCAAATATAGTCTCCGTGGTGCAGGTTGTGTCAACTAGTGTGTCACCAAGATCATCATTCAGCAGTGACTCATCTATCAGAGAGGTCTAACAGGTACCAGGCCCCACACTTACTCTTAGCGAAGGCGCTGATTTTGTCGCTTAAATTATGGCTGAAAAGTGTTCCCTCTAGAGCCGCCTAGCTTATTAATGTATATCTTATGCTGTATCTACTACCGCGTGTTTTCATATGGGCGGTTTCATGAAAGTGACCAAAGGGACAAATGTAATAGGTGTATGCTATAGTCAAGAGGCAGTATGAGGGTGATTATCCTATAGTGTAGTGAATGAATTTGAGTTTAATGTTCTATTCTAACTAAATCCCAAAGCGATTAAAACTCATTGGAAAATATATTATCTATTGGTGCAAGTGCCTACGCTCCTCTGTTTGTATTTCCTCAGTCATTGTCTCAGCTGGTGTTAATAATATACCTGCCAACTCTCACGCCTGCGGGTTGAAAACTTCGATCTCACGCCGCCTCACGCTTGTAGGCCAATTTCTCACGCCTGATTGAAAAATGTGAGTTGTTGCTGTCTTGCTTGACACAATTTCCAAAAATATGTTAACTCAGACCCATGTAAAGAACGAAAACATGTGTAAAATGAATAAATGACAATACCTTCCTCGCGATCTCTGATTTTTATCAACTAACGTCGGCCCTTGTGGATAAGCGTTTTCTCGATAACTTCGCCTTCGGTAGACTTCGGACGTCTTCGGAAGACTTCGGACTTCTTCGGGAATCTTCGGAAATGATCGTGTCGTCTTAAAAAATTCCAGCACTCCCAGCATAAAAATCTCACGCTTATATCTCAGAAAAAGTTGGCAGGTATATAATAACCGTCTTAACCACCTGGGCAACTGAGTGTCAAATCTCCTTTGCTTTCTTACTAAAACTTTGTTAAGATCTTAATTCCTTTGGGAGGGGGGCAATTGACAATAGCCACGGTCATTAAAACGGGGTTAACTGTCAAATTTAACTATAGCTATATGAGTCTGTCCACGGTCCCTTCAGTTGAAGGACAATGGACTTTGACATGATCTGTTCCATACTACAAATAGTCTGTTCCAGGCTCCGAGATAGTCAGACCCGCTGAATTGAGAAAGTGCGAACACAAAAATAAAACGGGAGGAAACAGGGGAGAGAAGGAGCAACTATCTGAGAGCCTGGAACAGGCTATACTAGAAACTACATGACTTTTGAAGAAAAACTAGGGAGGGTACCCAAGGAAGAAACAAATATGCACAGGATAGCACTTTCAGGATTGTTTCACTGACCATGATCATGTCTATGAAGGATGAATTTTATCAACTAGGTTAATGACTTGCCTATGGGAGTAAAGAGGTAACAAGGCCGAGAGCATGACTTGGGCAATAATATTGATCTTGAGCAATCTTTGTGTTGCTATGTTGGGTGCCCTGTGTGAACGTGGCCTAATGTGGCACAACTAAGTCTAGCTTGATAGGATTTCTGCAAATTATCCTTTCCTGCAACCTTAAGAATGGGTAGAAGTTCTGCTACAAATTCTTTTCTAACTTTGATAATGTACTTTAATTATATACCCTTATGAAATAATACAGAAACAACACATCCAAATCCACTTTTAATAAAAAACAACAGTATCATTCACCTTACAAATCAGAAAAATATAGTTCTTTTTATATCTAGTAGTTTCACAATTTGTCATTGTTCTCTTAGTTGTATATCCCTAAAATAAGTTAAATAACCATCTTCATCTTTCACAAGATCCCGACATAAATGTTCCATATCATGGCCTACTCTTGGATTTAATATTAACTTTGTAGCAATATTTTTCCTTCTCTCGTCTTTGTGCTCTCCTGGTAGTAAACATTCCTTGGCCATTGCATGTGATTTCTGTTTCAAAAGCCTCACTTCAGACCAGAAATTGTCATACTGAGACTTAACTTTTCTCCAAAATGTTTGATTAAAGTGTTCATAAAGTAAGACATCAGCTTTGTTCCAATCCAAAAATTTATTCCTAAACTGCCTTGGAATGTGATGCTTCTTTGATGAACGCAGTCTCAAGTTATGCTTCAGATACAATACATCCTCCAAAGTCCAACAAAAATGTTGCTTTAACATAACCAAAGACTCATCAAAGTATTCCATGAGTAACACAAGATGAAAATCATTCTCTACTGACGAGATGAAATTTCTGATTGCTGTAGTGTCTTCGAAATCATCAGGTTCCAAACCAAGATCAAAGCTCATTCCATTTCTAAGAGTATACATTGAGTTTATATTATGCTTGAATTTCTCGAAGTGTTCGAAGAAGTGTTGGAATGGATTTGCAGATGCTGGAATGCCAAGAAAAGCTGGAAAATCTTCAAAGAGAAAAGCTGATTCAAACCTTGAAAGAGGATGTCGAAGAATGGTGACAAAATTTGTCCCAGGAGGCATAAATGATTGCATTGTGGTTTGGTTGTATCTACCAGTAAACACATGAAAACAATATTAACTGTAATAAGTAAAACTAAAACCTTTAATAATCTAAGTTCATTATAGAGTGAATGATCGATTCCTTGATGGTGATTCCATTTTCTAAGTAAAAATTATTTTCATTGTGCATTTGATTATAAATTCATATAGATATTTCATGCTATAAATTTTTAAATATTATTATAATATTAATATTATAACTTTTGAGTCTGAGGATGAAATCCTATAGTGTGACCACTCAAATGAAGCGTCTTTATCTAGTATCAGCACTTGTACTTTATCTATGAAATAAATTTGTTTTTCAGCATTATATTACAAGATGAAATTTGTACTTCTGTCAAATTTTATTTTATAAAAATATTACAAGTTAAATTCACTTACAGCAGTTATCACTAATGTGCGCCTTCAAAGGGTTTTTTCTTCAGTTCAAACCTGTGGTTTGGTGGATGTCAATCAACCGTTACCATGGTTTTGACGCATTGGCCAAGAAAAGAGTCTTTCCTCGTATTCTTGAGCACTGAGAGGAAAATGTTGACCTTTAAGCTGTTTTTGCAATACTTTGTTATAGGATCTGACACCACTTCATGTCAAGATTACAAGGAGTACGAGTTTGTTGAGTGTTTGTCGGAGGAAACTCAAATTGTCGACATAATAAGCACAGTAAGTTAAAACCACAGAATAGCTTTCTCAAATTATACATGCTTGCAATTAACTCCTCTGAGTTCTTGCTAGTTCAGGATTCTGTTCGATAACATGAAGAATGATAAGTAGATCTGCAGGTTACAAAATTCATTTTCGAAAACAGCCTTTGTTCAGAGGAAGCCTTTGTCCCTTGTCAGTGTGATATCTTCATTTCTTTGAATTTATGCTCCTTGGCAATTTGTCCACGGTTCCCGCGTATTCATTCAATCAAATAAATAAACAACCTGAAAACCTTTACGTTAACTATTTCCCTCAGCTCGAAGAGATCTCATTGTTTAAACAATGTAATCCTTCATCTTAATGAAATAAATAAAACTAAAAATGGTGTCATCATTCGAAATTATTCTGTTAAGTCTTTGCCCTTCATTCACCGACGAAGGAACCCTCTCTGTCAGAGCATGTGAGATAACCACAGAAAAGGTTGATTGAAGTCCATGAAAACTCAGGTTTCAACAGAGAAAAAAACCATTCAAGGGTGTGTTTTAGTGGTAATTAATCACTGTAAAAACAAAACAAAGAAAACTTTGGTCCAGACAAATTTATGTTCTGGACACATAATTCAAACCAGGTCTATAATCTTAATGGCCACCTCTCTAACACAGCCATCTCAAATTGGACCTTTCCCTGTGACTTATTAAAAGACAATAGGTAAGGGATGGGGTCACAGTGGCTGATTTAATCAAGTCCAATACCAGTTTTGTCAATGGCTCTGCAAAGGCAATCTCTCTGCAACAGCCATCTACTAGTATATGTGTCTCTTTTGTGGAAGGGTTATACTAAATGACATAATGATGTGATATCTACACACTTGTGAGATGTCATCATGGTTTCATATTTCATTGGAAACTCGAATGATCGTCATGGTCTCCCATTCCCAACATAATGGACATGAGGTCTTTCACAACAATTTCTAACAAAGCAAAGGAACATATATATTTGTACAATAACTGCTGAGTGATTTCTTACAGTCACACTGTTTGGTCAAAAGTTGTGGTCAATAACAATACAGACCATGGAAATGATGTGATGGTGGTGCAATTTGTTTTTTTTTTTTTTTGACATCATTTTCACCGTCGATAGTGGAGTATAGACCATGGAAAAGTGTTGTCTATTTGTTAATTTATACATGTGATGTGAGTTTTAGTAATTTTACCTTGCATGACTGCAGAGAATGTTAGGCTTTTCCTCTGGTAAATTATCCACAAAGTTAGCTTGAAAACTCCAAGGCCAGTAAAATGAATAGATTTGTTTCCTTGGTAAAGCCACTGTCAAACCTCTGCTTTTAGAAAATCTAAAGAAAATGTTGCTTACAGAGCTGCTGCCAGTCTTGTGGGTTTTGAGAAACAGAACATTATGAACAGACTGGCACATACTCCTGAAGATTATAACAGAGAATATAATAAAAATCAAATATCAAAATAGTGCTTTTTCTTCTTACGTTTGATCCAGAAGTCAAATACTGACAAATAATTTGCAGTCAAGTAGATCACTTCTGGACAGTTACTAAGTTACTATAACAGAGTGTGTTTGAAAAAAAAAGCAACAATAATGATAAAAAAAATTGCTTATAACCGAAGACAACTTTAGTTGATTCTTTCACACAAAAGCCCAATGTACAAACCTTTTCATGGCGCTGTACAGCGGCACAACAGCCCATTTCAACACGAAGAACACTAGAAAAGCCCCAAATACTAACTTTTTCACACGAAAGATTGTCGAAAGCCTCATTATTCTTGATTTGCGGTGTAGAATGCAGGAAATGCTTGTGCCG